GGATTTGGGCTCTGCTGGTGTTTTACGCTGAATCCTCTATGGCACCAAAGCACTATGGAGTCCATACAAAGAAAAGGAGAGCATAATTTGTACGTTTGAGGAGTAAATGAACAGAACTTCAGTATAAAATTTGTCACACTATATTGCCAGGACAGATTATAAGTCAAAGATAGAACCTTCCCTAAGTAGGAGCCCGTGCATTTCCCCTGAATAATATCTACCCAACAGAGCTCTAAAATGAAATATTTGCGTTTTCCCCACTGCTTTGTTTCCTAGAATTTACAGAGTACAGCTAGCGAAAGGATTGCTTAGAAGATACATTATATCCACAGAGGATTACTGGTGCCATTTTTCATATAGTTACATGAAGTCAAATTATTGTCTATTCTTACCCAAAACCTATGAAAGCCAGAGAACAAACACATCATCATCTATATTCTCAACCACAGATGTGTTTTACTTTCTGCAGCTGAAATAGGTAAATTGCATTTGGGGAAATCAAAGAATATGTAAAATACACTGGGGGAGCTGGCAAAATAAATTAACCCTACCATGAAATTATTTACTAAAGTGAACAATTATCCTCTAATTTATATACTTCATAAATCAATATCTTCATGTATCAAGTTTGCTTAAGGTGAATTATATGCCTTTTCCTGGAAAACAGTTATCACATAGAGATATTTTTAAATTCGTTGACCCTCCAAAACAAATTGCCTGTCAACCATAGGTACAAAACTCTGTACAAGCCTGTGTATAAATTGGAAAAGATGTACCATAGAAAACAGTTCATATCATTAACGGTGGGTTTGAATGTTTTCTCTGATCCATTCTTTTCTCATTTATTTTTAGTTAGTACTTCCTTGAATGCAAGTGGCTTGGACTTCATTTATTTCTTTGCAATGTGATGCAGATTTTCCAAGGTTCCTCTCTGACCTAATGACTTCAGCTGTCTCTTAGTAAAACCTACATCCTTTTGTTTGCTTATGGCAGGAGGGAATCAAATCTTCTAACTGCAGCATGGGGAACATCTGTTAAACAAAAGGAACAACTTCCTGACAGTGGTGTATTAGTCTGTTTGCATTACTATAAAGGAATAGCTGAAACTGGGTAATTTATAAAGAAAAGGGGTCTAATTGATTCATGGTTCTACAGGTATACAGGAAGTACGATGCTGGCATCTGCTTCTGGTGAGGGCCTCAGGAAACTTACAGTCATGGTGGAAGGTGAAGGGGAGCAAGCATGTCACATGACGAGGCTGAGAGCAAGAGAGAGAGTTTGGGAAGGTGCTATACACACTTGTAAACAAGCAGATCCCGAGAGAACTCCTCCACTATCTCAAAGACAGTACTAAGCCATGATGGGCAGACCCCATGAACCAAACACCTCCCTCCAGGACTTACCTCCAACACTGGGGATCACTTCTCAACATGAGATAGGAAGGGGACAAATATCCAAACCATGACAAAGTAGTTACTTAAAACCTGGACTGTGTTATTAAGGAGAGTTCTGGAATCTGCTCAAGAAGGCATTAAGATAAAATAGATTCTTCCTGTACATGGAGAACATTCTAAAAGTTATTTCTTGCTCAGAACAATATTAATTAACACTGTAGAGAACTGGTGGCTGTAAGAGATCATGAATTAACTCTTGCATTCAGTGACCATTTATTGAGTACCTCCTGCAATAGTGAGAGCTGTATGATGGGCCTTTTATGTCAGTCACAGTGCTAGGCATTTTTTTTTTTTTTTGAGACAGAGTTTCGCTCTTATTGCCCAAGCTGGAGTGCAGTGGCACTATCTCGGCTCACCGCAACCTCTGCCTCCCAGGTTCAAGCGATTCTCCTGCCTCAGCCTCCCAAGTAGCTGGGATTACAGGCATGTGCCAACATGTCCAGCTAATTTTTTGTATTTTTAGTAGAGACAGGCTTTCTCCATGTTGGTCAGGCTGGCCCAGAACTGCCTCAGATGATCCATCTGCCTGGGCCTGACAAAGTGCTAAGATTACAAGTGTGAGCCACCACACCCGGTCTTATCCTGTCTTTACTGTTGAGAAAAACCAAACCTTAAAGAAGTAATATGATACAGTGTGGTAATTCCTCAAGAATCTAGAACCAGAAATACCATTTGGCCTACCAATCCCATTACTAGGAATATACCCAAAGATTATAAAAGCACATGCACATGTATGTTTATTGTGGCACTGTTCACAATAGTGAAGACTTGGAACCAACCCAAATGCCCATCAGTGATAGGCTGGCTAAAGAAAATGTGGCACATATACATATACCATGGAATACTATGCAGCCATTGAAAAAGATGAGTTCATGTCCTTTGCAGGGACATGGTTGAAGATGAAAACCATCATTCTCAGCAAACTAACACAGGAACAGAAAACTAAACACCACGTGTTCTTGGTCGTAAGTGGGAATTGAACATTGAGAACACATGGACATAAAGAGGGGAACATCACCCACCAGGGCCTGTCAGGAGTGGAGGACAAGGAGAGAGGTAGCGTTAGGAGAAATACCTAATGTAGATGACGGGTTGATGGGTGCAGCAAACCACCATGGCACGTGTATACCTATGTAACAAATCTGCACGTTCTGCACGTGTATCCCAGAACTCAAAATATAATTTTAAAAAAACAAAATTAGATTCCTTAATCATATCATATCAAAATAAAACCTGGTAGATTAATTTAAAAAAAAGAAGTAACATGAAAGCAGGATTCAAACTTGTTTCTGATGGCTTCCAAAGTCCATGATATGAACCACAGTTGCTATGGTTCTTTTCTATTTTGAACAGCCCAATAGATGGAAAGATAAAAGGCAATCTTTAATCTCCAGAGGCCTTTATTCCGGTGGAAGAGATGGACAAGTGGACAGATAACTGTAGTGCAGTATGAGAGTGCTCAATGAGAGGACAGATCTTTCAGGGTGCCTGACGTGGTGTACTGGGAAGGGGTGCCTAACCCACCCTTGTGGGTTGGTTGCTTAGGGAGGGCTTCCCTGAAGGAGGAGATTCTTGAGCTGAATATGAGTTCCTCAAGAAACTCTTGGTCATCTTGATTAGGATGTTAGTGTCTGGCTTTGACTTATTCTTGGTTTTCTATTTTCTATTTGTATTTGTGTTTGTTTTAGCATTCACTCACTAATAACTATTCCTGGCTTATCATAGTTATTACAGATCTTACATTGGAGCAAGAGAAATAGACATTAAACTAAGCAATCATAAACTAACTTAGTACAATAATAAGTACTATGAAGAAAAATAGGCAGTGTTGAAAGAGTGAATGATCTGGAATACTTATGTAACTTAAGGGGGGAGCAGAGATAAGGCAGTGATCAAAATTTGCTGGGAAAATGACATTGAAGCTAAGAACTGAAAGATGAGTAGGAAGTAGTCATGAGAAAGGGGTCGTAATGGAGAAGTGCGGTAAAAAGTACTCCAGGGATGTGTAAAGATCCCAACGCCAGAAGGAACTTGAACAACTTGATAAACTGAAACTAGGCCAAGTGGCTGGATAGTATCAAAAATATGCAAGAGGAACAGGCAAGGCCAGATGATACATGATTCTTAAATGTTCTATTATAAGCTCTCCGAACTCTAGACTTACAGCACACATTTTTTTTTAAATCTATTTCTTAAAAATTTTATTAAATTCATCACTTCCTATTTCAACTCCAGTTTGTCTATCAGTTTTTCATTTTTATTCAAAATTATCTTAACTTTTGAAAATAAAATGTTACGAATCATAGCTTTATCACAAAAATAATTAGCTATATGGCTTGGTTGAATTTGGAATAAAAGTTGACTTAAACACAAGCAAGTCGTAATAGAGAAATGCTCTGGCAAAGATTAAGTACCATCAGCACAGTGTTGAAATACCAACTCTCAATACTGTAAAAAGATTAATATATAACATAGTATTCTAGATCACTTACAAAACATCATGCTATTTCAGAATAGTGTAGATAGCTGAATTTCATGATCTTCATACCTCTAAGCAGGCTTTCAAAGCAAACAGCAAGGGTTTGACGTTGTTTTAGGTTTTTCCTAGTGGTCCTGATCTTTTCCAATAATGGACATCAAGAGGTATGCTCAAAAATGTGTATCACAAGTACCTTCTTTCAGACTGGCTTACTCGGTATAAATGAAATATTGATGTATCTGAAAATGCTCAAGTGTTCAATAAAGATTTTAAATAAAACTACCTAAAAGTTGTGGTTCTTAGGTTAATCATTTATTTATCTAAAGGATGAAGAAAACTGTCTACTTCTGTGATATGAACTGAAATCAGCTTAAAAATAATTGACAAATTAATCCCTTCACAGCACAGCAGTTGTAAAGGTGTTAGTTTAATTAGGCCTGTCTGATTGCCTTGTCTAATCAAGAATCAAGGTGGTATCTTTGATGGTTAAGGTCTGTTGGGGCCATCTCTGACCTGCCAGCCATGTATGTTTTAATTATTGATTCCTCACATTTCAGCCCTTTTCACAAAGGAACTTGAAGTTTGCCGTACCTTAACATTTAAAGGGAAGAAAAATAACATCTTCCCCAACACTCTGTCTAGAATCCTGTGTATCCTCTCCTGCATTCCATCATTTTTGTCCTCAAAAGTCTGTCGGGTTGATGATGAAGTCCAATGCACAGTAGAAAGCTATCTTACTGCTTCTTTACCTCCCAAGCACTAGATTTTCAATTGACATTGTTAAGATCTTGACAAATCACATTCATTTATGCCTCTAGAGAACACTTTTGATTTCTTGGTATTATGTGTTTTAAAAATCCCGAAGGGCAAGTGTGTTACCAGAAGATCAGAGAGGTCAGATGAAAGGGGACACGTACCTTCTCACAAAACCCTCCTTCACATCGCTAGGAGGAGCAAGGCGAGGGCTCCTCATGCCACGGTGAGCTGGCTGCAGCACACCAGTGAGCATGGGCAGCGGGTGGTGTTGGTAGTCCCTGTGTGTGATGGTGGCTCTTCTTTGTTTGCAGGTCAATGAAGTGACAGTGGAACAGCTGGTGCAGCAGTACCCCCACATCACCTTCAGCACTGTCCTGCAGGACTGCAAGAGGACCTTGGAGAGAGCCTATCAGATGGGCTGGACCCCCAACATGTCTGCTGCCTCCTCCTAATGCTCCCGCCCCGCCTAGTCCACTGGGATCATTCAGCAGAGCAGAGGAGAATTGTACATTTGTGGGGCCGATCTCTCGGAAGAGTTTTAACTGTCACCTGTCTGTGTGTGTCCAAGTATGTGTATTTGTGTCTTGCTGCATACCAAAAGTGCAGTTGTCATTTGTTCCCAAGTGAGCTGGCTTTTTTTCTTAGAAATTAAAGATTATGAAAGCCACACACCTTTTAGTTTTAACTTCAAAGGCTTCTTTCTCTTTAAAAAAAAAAAGTTTTTTAATAGAGTCAAAAAATTGGATGTATTATTTTGAACTTCTAATTGCTGCCGCTTGGAGCTGTCCAAATAAGAAGGCCTTCTTTTTACGTGGGATGAATTGTGCACTTCTACTGATGACGACTACAGCAGAAGTGATGTTACAAATGCAGGCACTTACACTCTCTCACATACTCACACGTGTGCACATCTACACCAGGGCAGTATCTTTCTAGATCATTTCCTGACAGAAGCCTTCTTCCAGGCCACTGAGGGAGCATGTTATCCACTGTGGCACTGCCTAACTCCGTGTATCTATGGGTGGCCAACTTGCTATCTGTTGGGTGACTTAGGGACTAGAAAGAATAAAGCTTATTGTAAATTTTTTATATGGAGACAACAATCTGAACTCCCCTGGCCAGCTCACAAAAGTTAATTATTCATTATTCTACAAATGTATTCTGTTGAGCACTAAAAATTTTAGTTGGTTTTATGTTAACATTGTGTTAGCTTTTATTTCCTGGATAGTAACTGGTCAGGATATATTTTAATAACATTTGAAGCTAATCTTAGCATTGAAGCCACCAATGTAATTAATGGTGTGCAGTTACTTTAAAAACTACACATCAGTTTATTATTTTCCTAATTTTGGTAATTATTAAAGTCTATTTCTGAGATGCGAGAGGGTAGTCACATTAATAGAAGATTCATGAATGAGATATAAGTAGACAATCTTTCTACTGTTGTCGCTTTTTTTGCTTTGCTTTGGGTTTTGGGATAGGATTTTTGGATATATGCATGTTGTCATTTTTGACTAGTTCTCATGCTACCGCAAAGATTTATTGCTAGCTAATATATGAGTTAAGAAGGAAAATTAGAAAATCTGTTCATTGAAATTCTGTTTACACTTGTCAGAAATAAGCATTTCTTTGTTTAATTAAACATTGCCAGCTTCAGTTAAGACAAGACCTATCAGTAAATGAATATATGTTTTGATTTAACACATCTTTACAATTAATTCATAATAGGGACTCAGGCTCAAATAACTGTTCCTGTGTCTAGATTTATAATGAGGACATCAGGGAGCCTTTTTAAGCTAAAGAGTGATTATCTTTCACAGTAGAAGTAGAAACTAAACCCTAACTTGTGAATTTGCTATTTATTCTTCCCTGAGTGAATATAACTGTTATTTGGTCTTTAACAGATATACTGAAGTTTGAGTTTCACTTTCTTTAAGTCCCACATTGCTAACATGACATTAGCTGTAAAAAAAACAAAAGATAGCTTTACATTTGAATGCCGTTTACTGATTTCCAATGATTCTCTTTTTTTGTAAACAGCTGTTTCCTTTGATTATGTCAACATGTTTCTGATGTGGCATTTTTGTTTTTATCCCAATCAGTCAGAAAAATCTAGTCAGTAAGCACCATGAGTATTTTTCCCATAACTAAATGGGTTTCTAATTTAATTTGAAGGAAATAAAATCTGTGTAAGAAAAAAACTGTTTAACATGAATAAACTATATTTCTTCTTACACTTTGAACTATATCATTTTCATATCCACTTCCCCACCACTGAAATGTCTTATTTCACAGTATTTTAACTGATTTTTAATCCAAACTAATTTATAAGACAGTATGTATGTAATAGTAGCTTGAGTGAATATGCAAAAGTTTAATTTTTATATATGTCATACTATATTTTAAATAGTTAAAAAGACAAAAGAAGGGAGAGCCATCTATGATATAGGTGGCACCATTTCAGTTCAAAGTTGTAATAATCTTTGGAGTGTTACAGTTTGATTGTCAAATGGTTTCAGAGTGTATAATTGATTTTTTAAAATGTCGCATTGTTTGAATCTGAAGTACAGCACTATAACATGCTTTAGCTTGGTGGGTGGGGGTGGGGTGGGGACTTGCACTTATTCTCTAAAATGTTGACCTATCCAGAAAGCCTGATGCAACATAATCTGGAAAACTGCTTTGGTACATTTGTAGAAATCTGTAGAAATACCATATCCAGCCTCAAAGCATTAATCTAAAAAAAACAGCCAGAAAAAAAGCATCACCTTGAGTGATCCTGTGATGGTTGTTGAATGTGTTCTCATTAGATGCTTTGAAATGAGGCTTAAAATAATTTTTCTGGGCAATATAGAGTTTCTTTTTTTTGCTTAGAATGTCGTAAATACATGTGAACACGTTTAATGCAGGGCTTTTTATTCTCTCCAAAATGTCAACAGTATTTTCAGAATAAAGACTATGAAATATATTGCTGTAATGGAAAATTCTGGTCCTTTGTCTTTAATGTCCTTTTGAGTGAATAAAGAAAATTCACCCGGTTTGTAGTTTCTATATTTCTGTGAATCTTTGACCTTGCAATGGGTTGCAATAAAAGAGAAACAAAACACTGTGTCTTTTGCTTTATTTTGGAGACAGTAAATGACCTCCCTAACGCTGGTGGGATATGACGCATGCAGTGGTCTGTGTTTTTATGTGTTTCATTACAGAATTTTGTAGGTTTGACTAACCCAGAATAATAAACAAGACTTGACTTTAGGAGTTTCTAATTGGGCTGGTGACTACAGAGAGAAGATTAAAACCTCAAGGATTTAAATAAGCATGTATTAGTGTGTTGTCACACTGCTATAAGGACATACCTGAGACTGGGAAAGAGGTTTAATTGACTCACAGTTCAGCAGGGCTGGGGAACCCTCAGGAAACTTAAAAATCATGGAGGGGCCAGGCATGGTGGCTCACGCCTGTAGTCCCAGCACTTCGGGAGGCTGAGGCAGGTGGATCACCTCACTCAGGAGTTCAAGACCAGCCTGGGCAACATGGCAAAAACCCGTCTCTACTAAACATTCAAAAATTAGCCGGGCGTAGTGGCAGGCACCTGTAATCCCAGCTACATGGGAGGCTGAGGCTAAGACATGAGAGTCGCTTGAACCTGGGAGGTGGAGGTTGCAGTGAGCTGGATTCTGTCACTGCACTCCTGCCTGGGCAACAGAGGGAGACCATGTCTCCAAAAAAAAAAAAAAAAAATTGTGGCAGAAGGGGAAATAAACAAGTTCTTCTTCACAAGGCGGCAGGAGAGCAAAGAATGAGAACCAAGTGAAGGGAGAAGCTCCTTATAAAACCATGAGATCTCCTGAGAACTTGTTCACCATCACAAGAATGGCATGCAAGAACCACCTGCATGATTTAATTACCTCCCACTGGGTCTTTCCCATGACACATGGGGATTATGGGAACCACAATTCAAGATGAGATTTGGATGGGGACACAGCCAAACCATATCAAGTGAGTTGTTTAAAATCCCATTTCCTAAATAGTCATCATTTATATAGCCACATATTCCATTTCTCCAAAGTCTAAAACATTTATTGACTGACAAATATAGGCACTGGATATTTAAAGATAAATGAAACCCATTCCCACTCTCAATTTGCTCTCAGCCTAACAAGGGGACATTCTGGGGCACTAGTAATAACAGTGGAGTACAATAGATATGATTATGGGCAAAATTATGGGGGGTGCACCTAGGACCAAGCAGCAACTTTGCGAAGGCAGAGCTTCACAGAGGAGGAGCTTTCCCTGAAGGCTAGAGAAATAGTGGGAATTTACCAGACTTGCTTGGGGGAGGGAATAGAAGGCAACCTGGAAAATGGAAAAACATGTGGAAAGGCTTGAGGGAATGAGGTAGCATGGAAAGAGCAGGGCCCTTGAGGTAACCGAGTTTAATAGGAAGGGGTGTTATACTGAGGCAGCAGGTGGAACAGGTTCCAGGCAGAAAACAAGGGCAAATCATAAATGTTTTACGGCCTACTGAAGAGATTAGACTTGTAGGAAAAATCAGATCTAGAAAAGCCTTGCCTTAAATTATTCAAACAAGTAAAAATGTAAAATGCAGAATGTCTACTTATAATAATATTGTGGAAAGGACATCCTGAAAGATTTTCTGCTACATAACATCTAAAAATGTTCATTAAAATATTTCTGAAAACCTTTTTAAGCGACCAATATACCTGCAAGAAAGCAAAAGAAACTCCCGTGGCTGGGGACGAAGGGTGAACAGGAGTCTAGAATAGTGATGAGCAAAGAGTGGCCCCTGGGTCAAGCACAGCCAGACACATATTTTTGTACTAAAGTTTTCTTGGGACACAATCATACTCATTTGTTGTTACATTCTCTGTGGCTGATATGCTGCAACAGTAGAGTTGAGTGATTGCCACAAAGGCCATGTGATCTATAAAGTCAGAAAGATTTACTCTCTGGCATTTCACAGAGAAAATTTGCCAACCAACCTGGTCCAGAGAGGTGTTTCTCAAGTACAGACCCCAGATCAATCACATCAGCATAGCCTGGGAACTTACACTTAAATTCTTGGTCCCCACATGATACCTACTAAATCAGAAACTCAGTGAGTAAGGCCCCCAGATCTCTGTGCAAATCCTCCAGGTCACTCTGATGCATGTGCTAAACTTTTATCGCTGTAGAGACAAGCCTGGAAACAACCAGAATATGGGACTATATTGATCATGATAGCCTGGAGAACTTGTGGAAAATTTAGGGCCAGTGAAGAATTGAGAGTCAGATCAGAGTCTACCTCACAGAAAGCCTGGATCCCCGAAAGGCTCTAGCCTTTTCAAAACAGTGAACTGGCCAGGCACAGTGGCTCACGCCTGTAATCCCAGCACTTTGAGAGGCCGAGGTGGGCAGATCATGAGGTCAGGAGATTGAGACCATCCTGGCCAACATGGTGAAACCCCATCTCTACTGAAAATATAAAAATTAGCTGGGCATGGTGGTGTGCGCCTATAGTTCCAGATACTCAGGAAGCTGAGGCAGGAGAATCACTTGAACCCAGGAGGCGGAGGTTGCTGTGAGCCGAGTTCCGCCACTGCACTCCAGCCTGGCAACAGAGCAAGTCTCCATTTCCCCCCACCCCCCAAAAAATGGTGAATTACAATAAATCAAAAAATTAAAGAGGCAGATAGTGGGCAAAGTAACCATTCTCAGCCTGGGCTATTCATGGATTTTTCTTTTTAAGGGCTCCCCTGCAAATTAACATCTACTGGCTAACAACATTCAAATGGGTTTAAACCAAGTGTGGTGGCCCATGACTGTAATCCCAGCATTTTGGGAAGCCGAGGCAAGAGGATTGCTTGAGCCCAGGAGTTTAACAACAGCGTGGCCAACATGGGAAAACTCCATCTCTATAACATCTCAAAAAACTAAAAAAAACAAAAAAGCCAGCCGTGGTGGTACATGCCTGTGGTCCCAGCTACTTGGGAGACTGAAGTGGGAGGATCACTTGAGCCTGGGAAGTCAAGGCTGCTGTAAGCCGTGATTACACCACTGCACTCCAGCGTGGGTGACAGAGCAAGACCCTGTCTCAAACGCACATACACACACACACACACACACACACACACACACACACACACACACACCAGATGACATTAGTAACAGAATCTACGCTGTTTGCAGAGTTTATGTTGCTGATAATTGTATTTTTAAGAGGATTCATGTCAGTGGTGCTCAGTGTCTGACAAAAGCAAACAAAAATCATCCCTGGAGAAAGGTACCCTCAATGCAAGCGTCCAAAGAAACCTTAGAGATAGAATACCAGCAACTATGAACCCACAATCTAAAATCACAGGCAAAAAAAAAGGACATAACCCAGGATTAGTAGTGCAAATCAGTAGAAACAACAAATAGATCCACATCCTCAAAGACTTCAATATTGCATTTTCAGACACATACTACTACAAAATAAACATGTTGTATTAAAAAGTTGTTTGACATGTATAAGAAAAAAGAAACTACCAAAATGAACAGAAAAATAAAAAACCAAACAGTATAAAATTGTAAAAAGTCCAGGCACAGTGGTTCACACATGTAACCTCAACATTTTGAGAGGCCAAGGTGGGAGGACCACTTGAGACCAGGAGTTCAAGACCAGCCTGGGCAGCATAGTGAGACCTGTCCCTAAAAATTTTTAAAGTGGCTGGGCATGGCACTTCTTGTCTTAGGTACTCAGGAGACTGAAGCACAGGATTGCCTGGACCCAGGAATTCATGGCTACATTGAGCTATGATCACACCATTGCACTCCAGCTTGGGCAGTAGAGTGAGACCTTCTATTAAAGACTGTTTACTATTATTGTAACTTCTATTTAACATGCTAATCAGAGAGCTAAGCCAGCACAGAGCTATCAAAATAAAAGGGTAGGGACCATAATGGAAAAGACAAACTGAATCATGTACAGCCGACAAGAATATAGACAAAACAGGCAGAGATGAGCAAAACCTCAAAAGAATCTAGAAAATAGAATTAAGAAGATTTAAAAGTTACTTGGATGTAATGTTCAAATATGATACTCATTTACATTTCTATATACCAATCATGAAGTAGAAAAATGTAATTTCAAAAAATACTTTTTACAAAAGCAACACAAAGTGGCATTCCTTTATGAGTCAATTACAAAACTATATTAAAAGACAGAAAAAAATGTAGACAGCAAACATCTTCACGGAAAGGAAGTCTTAGTATTCTACAGATGTCATGTTGAGAGAGACGTCTCCATAGGCCTCTTGCATTTCTGTATGTCTTTCAAGCAAAGGTTGCTTACTGACTTGCTGCCTTTGCCCTGGATTACCTTTTCAAAGATGCTCTTATGGTGAATAGCCTTCAAAGACAGGGATAGTGACTCCCTCTAGAGCAGAGGGTAAACATACTCGCTGTTCCATATAAAACACTTGTTTCCTATGCTCAGTGTTCCTCTCCTGTAACACAGCCCAGTACAGACACAGGTGTCACCCACCCTCTTCACATATCCTGTGGGAATTACAGCTTCAGAATCTTCAGGATCAGCATTTCAGGAAAATGCTGATACTCTGGCTACTGCCATTGCTGTGGGTAACAAAGTCCCTTGTCTCTGATTCAAGAGTCTGGCATCTTCTGCCAGGATCCCTGAAACTATCGGACTGACATGAATTTGCCAGTAGAGTAAAATCTCAAACCCCTCACAGTTCTGAACTTGATAATTCTCCCCTAATTGATCTGTTAATATCATGCAATTCCAAACAAAATCCTAATAAGGTTTTTTTAAAATCTTACTCAACAAGCTTATTCTTAAATTCATTTCGAAGAACAAACGTAAACTCATTTGTATTTAGATAAATGCACATTAAAAGAAAGTTTATGCCCAAAAAACTGGCAAAAAGTAAGTCTTGAATGATTAAGTTTTAGCAAAGATGTAGAACAATAAGAACTCTTACACATTGCTGTGGAAGTTGGAAAAGAGTTTGGCATTATCTTTAAAAACTTAAACACGTACATACAGCAATTCCCTTTGTAGGTATACACCCCAGAGAAATATTAACGCATGTGAACCGAGAGACGTGT